GCTCATCAACATAATAGGGCTATAAATAACAAAATGAATACATAATAATATTATATCAAACAGTAAACAAAATATTTAAGAGATAATAACTAATTGAAAGTCATTTTTTTAAGTGTAAAATGTACTCCAAATACGTAAATGAACCTGTTTAAATTTATATCACTCACCAATGAAACGTATTGAATTTTGTAATATATAACACATTCCCAGTTCAATACTAAAATAATACAGTGTATTCGAAGCGATGTCACGGGTATGAATCGAGGATGGATTAATCGAAGACTGCAGTTACGATTAGTTGATGATTAATACTCGCACGGCTACGCCATCTGCCGAATTAATTGGTTCATTTCCTATAGACGGTTCGAAATGGAATTTTGTACTAGCGTTCGACGTTTTTGTCTAACACTCTGGACGATATGGCACATGCAGTTACATATAATCGAACACTGTGCTCGCACCTGAAGAGTTCATTTAAATGAAATGTTTTGTTAATTTTAAAAGCGATTATTTATTATTTAATTAAACTCTTCCACCAAGTTATTTTAATTGGTTTTCTAAAAGAATTACATTTGTGTTTTACAATTATATACTCGTAATATTTTAATAATTTAAACATGAAACAAAAATTTAATTTAAGTGTATTTATAATACGCGTGGATAAAATTTATACCTTTTATTTAAACTAATTAAATAAATTTATTTACATAGATCTTGTACACTTTAAATCTTTAAAACAATAAAATGAGTTATCATTGCGGTATTAACTTGTTTAAGTAATTAATTTCCGCCTGAAAATTTAATAATAACCAGAGAGAAGACAATTAAAAAAGGATTATACTAAAAATGAACCAAGTGGCTCTTTTAAGTTGAAATCAAACTAAGAGTGGGCAGATTAAGGCCCTGGTCTGAGGATTATGAGAGAGTGTAAGTGGTAATGAAATTTGCCCGGAGGAAATGTTGAAGGCCTAGGCTAAGCCTTGTCCAGGCAACCGCTGATTGTATTTGATGAGAGTTTTATCTGTTTCTCACTATCGGTCGGCCGATCGTCGTCTAATCACGCCGATTTAAGTTAGAGCCTCGGTTAATTGCTTGCTTATTTTAAGCTTCAAAGTTTCAGATTAATGACTAACGGATATACATTTAAATTAAGTCGAAACGTCTTATCGCCGTTGTTGCATGTTTATTAGTTAATTTTATATCCAATACTTTAATTAAATAACATATTTGATTTATAGTGAAGTATTTGCTTTTATCAAAAACATACTCTCCAAAAGGACACAATGAATTATACTGCGACTGTTCCACACATCAATTGAAAAGAGTTGCTTACAAATTAATTTCTGACGAAGACCATCACACTACTGACAGTTATAATTGGACAATATCTTTAAAATGTGCAAATTATTGTAATAGTCAGTAAATCAAATATTGAAATTATATATAATTTTATTTTTGAGAACAATATTACACTATGCAATATATAATTATAATAATATACTATGCAATAATAACAATATTATACTATGCGATATATAAGACATTTCAACAACAAGGAATCACAAAACTATAAAGTACATATATTACTAAAATTTTAATAAATATTGTCATAAATACTGAGTTGATTTACCAAGAACACAACGTTAAACCTTATAAAACATACTTAATTCAGACAACAAGGACGTTACATATATAAATATACACATAAGAGTACGATGAATGTTAATAATCAGAACAATCAATACGTCGAAGTACAGACTCAATAACTACATAGGTAGTTTCCTACTATTGACAATCGAAGCATCAGAGCAAATCTCAAAGATGGACCAAAGGATAGCAGAGGCTTCATTGTCCCTAAGGGCAGCCAGCTAAAGCCTGTCGTTACGTCAGTACGGATTGTGATTCGATTAGGAATCGCTATGCGACCGCTTACATCCTTAACAAGTTGGAACTACCACACAATGGCCACTTGAAAATTGTAAAATGTCAAGCCGAATTCCACTTAAAGTCTCCTATAAGAGGAACAGTATAATGTTATTATAATTAACACTTTTATTATTATTATTATACTTTACAATAAATGTTAATGATCACATAACATAAGAAAAGTATTTATGGTTAAAATGAATAAATATATAACACGTATTTAATCCTGTTGCCATGACATTATAAGTCAAGAGATTCTTTTATGATGTATGTTATAATTTCTCTGGATGTTCTATAAAATTAACAAGTTAACGTGTCTGTTATATATGTATGTATATATTTTTTACGATATATGCAAATGACAGATCTCGACGAGTCTTCCGACGCTTGTTATCGCCGTTGTCGCTACACACAGCACATAATTAATCACGGCTTACACACAAACAAAAGGCGTTTCAGTTCTAGTACTATCACGTAAGATTCCAGTCCTATGTAATCCCAGTCCCATATATTCTGACCCAGTCGCAGGTAGCTGTGGTTTAGGCTATCTTTACACAAACCATATCTATTTTTAGTGCTATTCCAACAGCATTTTTGGAATAACTCTATCACACCACGTGTTTTTTATTTTTTTGTTATTATTCGTACGCATTCAATAAAATTGTATGAAAGTTATTTTCACATGATTATAAATGACTTATATTTCAAATAACTTTTATATTGCAATAGTTACGCTTAATAATAATCTATTTCTTTAAGAATACATCCTTTACCGCATTTTGAGTGTGAAATTTGAGTTCAAACTGTTTATATAAAAATAAGCAATCCAAATCCGTAATTTCATAGTCTGAGTGTTTCTAAGTAAAGTGAAATCATATAATTTTGAACATTTAGTAGCTGTATCTACCCTTATTTTTTCATATCTCCGCTTTCGTGCCGCGTACCGGTGATTATTTTTAATTTCTACCGTTCCGTTGTCGGAAAGCATGTTGTACAAACCGTTTTGTGGGCTTTTTTAATGAACGTCGCCAAGTTACGACTTTGACGTTTGCTTTGACATTACACCGGAGCCATCAACGTATGTTACTGTCACTACGGTACTCAGTGTCAAATAAAAGCGTTATTATCTTGTTACACTTATTCCACTATTCAATAGTTCAGAGACTAAGGCTTGATATTAAGTGATACAATAAATTTTCCTTACATCATTTTATTTCGTCAAATTAAAAAACAAATCTACTTTATAATATCCATTCAATTATCTTACAGATATTTTATTCATTTAAATTGAATTTTAACTTTAAACTTTAATAATTCATATTTTAATAGTTTAGACAAAATTTTCATTTTTAATATCACTGTATCTTTTGAAATTAAAATATTTATATCTAACCAACATTTAATGTAAACCTGCATTCATATTTTAATTATAAAAATCATTTTCAGGGTTTTTCTTTGCTCAATATTATTTTAATTTTTTATGATTACAACTTATCCTAAACTAGAAATTCTTTCATATTGATGTCCCCACTAATATGACTGAATTTATATACTACAAATGAAATTAATTTTATATTTAATATATTACTTTATATGTAGAAAATAAAGGAATAGTTAGGGTCGACGATTTCAACTGAGTTTTCTATTTAGTGTCACTTGTCTGCTTTACAATTTAACGACCTCACAAAGATAGCTGGAACTAAGTCACAGTCTATCGGTATTATCTGTGTTCAGTAACAAGTACTTGTAGTTTTTTATTGCTATCTGTTAGACTGTGGTACGTTAATAAGTTATTACAATATCAATTATGATCGCAAAATTTTGATATTGTTTTTAAGTTAAATAAATACAGCAAAAGGAGACTAACGTATTTTTAAAATCATTTATATTGCATAGAAGAATTGTTTTGTTCCGTATCTTATTGTATTGAAGTAGTGCAAAGTTAATAATATCTCTCCATACACGTACAGTAGTCACAAATAACTAAGTTTGTTTCTCACAAGATATTGTTAAGTTCAAGTCAAGTATCAAAGGAATTATTGTGATAACAATGATTGTAAGTTTAACTTTGACAAAAGCTTTAATAGATGGCATGGCCCTTGAAGAAATGGAATATATGTTTATAATAACATAATATATTGTGCGGAAAATAGTAAGTTATATTTTAATCTTCAAAAAACTATCAAAGTTTCACAACGTCATGCCAACTCCATATAGCATTCGTCAGTGTCTTAAACTTTTATTGCGACGCATGCAATATGTACTTATAAAGAAATCTCAACAACACGGATCACAAAACTAAAACGAAACCGCATACCGACCACCAAAACAATTTCAAAATGGAGCAAGGGTGCCTCATACTTTGCATGAAAATACCGAAACGTCAACGTTTACAAATAACTTCTTGCTTCCGTCGGGCCACTTTTTGTTTTCCTATTTGCCGAGAGTTATGACACAAATATGAAAACATTACAATTGAATCTCCGCCAAATATGTTAGTCGTTGACTAGATGCGAGAGGTCGACTGGTCGCATAATCAGTTAGCAATTGCAGCTCGGTTTGTAGCACAAGCACCAGGTTACGCCGTAGACCGGTGCTACGGTTGGCGTATGCTAACTGCTACGTGGTCAACATTTCTGATATCACTCACGTTTTTTTAAAGTAATGATAAAAATTCCAACAATCGTACTTATTTTTTTGCTTTATGTAGCTCCATCCTTTTAAGAGAATGCGAACATTGATAAAATTAATAAACTCAAACATATCCGTGATTGTATTGCAGTTACAATAATGGCATTTTTGTTTTTAAATATGAAATATAGTCGAGAAAACTGATAAATGAGTGAGAAAAATTTATTCCATAATTTAATGGAAATGAATGACATATTATATTTTTGAACACGCCGGTGACAAAATCAAATTTTATACTGAAATGATGGGGCATATAAGTAACATCATTAATCGGCCCATAATTTCGATAAATCAATGCTAATTGGAGGTAAGAGTTCGACAGCCGGTTCCATCGCAAGAATATTTCAGAGCCGCCGCGGTGATAAATCAAACTCGAAACCGTAATGAAAGCGAACGGATCGCGTCGCGAGGAGAGGGAGGAAAAAATATCACGGAAAAAATCAGGTGCGTCCCCCGGTCGGGAAGAGAAAAACAGTCGGGCGTCGCGGCGCTGGGCCGGGAGGGGGGGGAGGAGAGGAAGGTATTGCGGGAGGGGGTGAGTGAGGGTTTGTGGGGGGTGGGGGTGGCGGTCGATGCGGGGCGGGCCGTGCGCGCGCTGGCTGGCGCGTGGGGCGCGTGGGGCGCGTGGGGCGCGTGGGGGCGCGTGGGTACTCTTCGCTCGCGCTCACTCGGCCGCGCCGCTCCTCTCGCGCCGACGCCGGCCGCGCCGCGCGTTTTCGTCACGTGTCCGCTCCGACTTTACATGTCCAAAGTGCTCAAGTCAGTGCTCCCGATCGCAACCGCGCGAGTGCTCCCGCAGCCGATCTCCGAGCCGGACCCGACCCGCACACCGCTCAGGGTTAGTAAGCCAGAGCGTTCTCGCGTTTGTGATCAGCTATTTTTCGGTGATCGATATCTTTGAGAAAAAGTTTATTTCGGGATCGTAAAGTTTGTTGAGTGGAGTGCGCGTCTCGGATGCACTTCGCGGGGCCACGAGTGGCCGCCGTCGGCCGTGCGGCGCCGTCGTGTCGCTCTCTGTTCGCTTTCAGCCCTCGATAAAAACAACAAACAGATTAATCGACCTGACCGTGCAAAAAATTTCAGTGCGGAATTTTGCCCGTTTCGTTTTCTTCTTACGGATCAGAATCGGCGACATACGGCCGTAATGTTTTGTATTAATGTACGAAATTTTCGATAAGATAAGAGCTACTAAAGTAATAATAGCTAGAAATAAAATTGTAGGATTGCATGTAAACATGATATTAACTGTAAATGGTTTAAGTTTACCTACTTTTTCTTGATATGCCGTCTGGTTGTTTTGTAGAGAGTAATTATAGGAGGAAATGGTAGATAAAGTAAAAAAATATGTAACATTATTGGAATTTTAAAATAAAATACGCATTTATTAGCTTTAATATTTGATTTATGATAGAACTGCTAGCTCGTGTTTATTTTATCAATTTCTAAGAAAATACTAAAATCCTAAGCATAATTTCATATTTTTTATCATCGTGTGAATATCACTTGTAGCTTTGTTTTATCGTTCATAAAGACGATAGCAATGCTAACCGCATTACTTAAATACGCGCCAAGAAATTCCTGTAACGAAACATTTTTAGCCAAATGTATTCTTGATTTATAGCATCAAGTTTCAATTAATTTTAATACATGCAATCTCTTTCTGGTATATTTCATTGATACGGATGGAAAATTTTATAAGTTTCTTTTCGTTTCATGAGGATATGTAAGTCTCGTTTAAAATATTTTGCGTCGCATATTATATAAACGGGGTAAGTATATTAAAACATTTTTTTCCAAAAACAAAATTATTTGTTATAAGTATTTCTTAAAAACAAATAAAAAATACTATAATGACGATACAATAAATCAGTCTTGTGTGATTTTTCGTTAAAGGTCAATAAGAGGACTTGATTAAAATCCGCTAAAAATAATAGCGTTATTATCATAGAATATGATTTAATGAAAACGTTGTTTAGATTTAAATAAGAGGTGTGAATTTCAAGTGCTAACCGCAAATGTTTAATCTCCGCAATTCAACTTTAAAATATAATTAATTTCGAATAAAACTAAGTTTTTAGTATACGATATTCTGTTAACGTATAAAATAAACGCATTCCCAAGAATAATAGAATAATACATTAAGTTTACAAACAAAACAGCAAAACCTCAAACATTTTGTAGTTTTCACAGAGAACAATAACTTACGGAAGACCAGAATAAAGTTTAAAAGTTCTGTACAAAGTTCATATAGTCGGGTTTCTTCTTGAATTCTTTAATTGATAATGCAGTTACTGCAATACGTTTTAATATACGATTTCCCATATTGTAACGTTTAACACGAATATATATATTTTTAACTATGGCGATATTAAGCAATGTATTTCGAATGTAAACATTTTTCTCATTATACTATTCCAGTATACATTTTTTTAATAAATTAATATAGTGTGTGTTTTTCAATAGAGCATATTAAATGATTGATCGCTTACGTTACAAGTTTGGAATTAGGTATAAAATGCTGGTGGCCTTTACTATTAAGCAACCTGCTCCATTTAAGTCAAAACCTTCAATAGGATAAAAATCAACATAATACAAACACATACATTATAAAATTTGAGGTCTTTGAGGAGGTAGAGACTAATAAGTAAAATTTTACTCAGAAAATTTTAGTACTATATATAATTTTTATTGATTGTTCCAAAAATTAAACGATAAATTTTTATAAAAGTAACGTTAAATATTCCCTGTTAAATATTCTATTCAAAAAAGTGTTAATTATCTACAAAAATATATATATTTTTCAAAGTCTAATCTCATAATAAATTTTGAATAAATCAATCGCAATAGTTAATACAAAAAGGGCAAATATATAAAAAAATTGCAATCAAACATTTATATTTCTTGTCAAACAGTTAAATTACAAATGTAATTTAATGAATATATAAAGCAGTCGATTAAAAGTAGGAGGAAATTAAGAACTCCATTATTGGAAAATAATTAGCAAAATGGTTCACAGAAGATACGATATCGCTTGACCCGAACATGTTATTCTTAGGTACCCCTCAAATTGAAGCCTTTCACCCCACGTAGCCCTAATAAGCTGTTACACAAATTAAAGAACATTAAAATTATTTAAATTAACTTTAAAAGAAATGGCATGTTTTAATGAAGAAGATAAAGTCGCTTGAATTCGAGATTTTGTAAAACAGATTCTGGAATCTTAAAATTTTATTCTGAGCTTATTATTATGCTGAAATACTTTGAGTACTTACCACATACTATCAATATATAATAAAAAAAAATGAATTTTATAAGTAGCTGAATATATGAAAATCTAACTTTTACCATTAGTTTTGTTTCTAGAGTAATTTTCACAGTGCTAAAAAAAAGAGACATTATGCAAACCTTCATGTCACCGGAATGATTTATGAAATATTTCAATATTTTTTAGTTAAAGAGCTTAGAGCTTAATTTAGTAAGGTTAAAATAAAAATCATTTACGACAGAGAAATATAAAAGGCAAATAGATTTTAAATTTTCAAAAAATACTTAACTTCAATTAGTACTATTTTATGCAGCATTGCAAATCCGTTTTTAATAACGTCGATTTTAATTATTTTACTTCGATAAGTCAGACTTCAATTAGTTGTTTAATATTAAATAATAAGGAGAGAATTCATTTTAATTAATGTAACTTGTGTTGTATAAAATTAAATGTTAACAATATATGTATTACATTATCTTAAAAAGCAAATATATTTTAAATAAATTGTTATGGCCATGATAAGTAATTCAAATTTCCAATATAACTCCTATATCAATCACTTATATTTTGTCTTGGACTTAAATAAATAGCCTTCACATCTAAACGGAACGAATCACAGATGAACTTTCTATCTTATTATAATTTATTTCGCAACAAAAACGCTCAGAATGTTCCGAGTTATACCTGATAGAAGTTCAATGAAGCCTAACAGCAATACGATGTTCCCGTCTCACTAAGAGTAAACAGTTTAATGATCGAGCGGTGACAATGATGATAGATGAAACTTAAATATCATACGCAGTTGTTAACGTGATATGTCATGTGATATATCACATGAATACTGTCCAGTACTTCCGTTGCGTAGACCATTTGTACCAAGTTTATGTCTCAAGAACTTTTCTTATTTCTTTTTATTAATACGACTTTGTTATTTTTCTTGAGAGTATTTTATGTCACCAAATAATAATGTCATAATGATACATTTTTGTAAACAGTAGTGTATTTTATGTATCTTTTTTATATATTATGACCCTTTTAAATCAGGAAATTAAAAATACTATACTATCTGCAAAACTCGGTTGTGAACTTGTTAAATGTAAATAAATTTTTAAACAAACATTTTCTTTGAACACGATAAACGATTGCTATAATAGAGAAATGTTAATAACACGTCCTAAGCGTTTGTAGAATGAAATAATAGAAAAACAATTCATCAAAGATAAGTTAATTATGGCATTTTAACCGGACGAATCCTTTGAAGGCGGCTCATTCGTTGTATTTGCTTTCTAATTGACCGCTCTGTATAATTGAATATACAAGACCGCCATTGCCTTAAGCTGTTTGACGAAGTAATAGTTGTTCTTGTTGTAATTACTTGTAGTTTGTATAGAAGGTTATTATTACGGTAGCCACTACATCCCCAGAGAACCAAGGGTCATACTTCACTTTACTAATTCAAATTCTTCATGTCCATATACAGTCAGTTGTTTCCATCAATTATATTATAGATTAATTATAAATCAGCGCTTAAAATATTTAATAGTTTAACATTTTTTCTATTGTTACTCCTCTAATAAAATAGAGGAACAAAAGAAAACAAGAAAATTTTATTAACATCTATTGTCAAGGTTTATATGAATTGAAACACCATTGTCATTATCATAGACAAACAAAATAAAAGAACAAATTTACCTTTTCATGACGTTAAGCCTTAGAATAATAAATCATAAAATATTGTAAATGTATTGACCAGAAATTACACTGTTTTAAGTTATCGGCCAAATAGTTCACATCTTCCATTCACACCAGTGATTCACCACAAATTCCATTACATAAATTCCTATAAATATTATTTTATGAACGTTATTGGAATAAATTTTGTATATGCTGTTGATAATATTATCACACACGATACAGTTCGATAGGATATAATAATGAAGTCGTATAAAAACATTTATTAGAAAATTTCAGAATCACAATATAATTATCCTTAAAAAATTCTTCGCTTCGAAAAGATAAAACTTTAAAACTGTAACATAAATCAAACTTTAAACCTCGAATTAAGTATTTAAAATAGTTTGAAGGTAAAACGTAACCATATTAAAACTTTGGCCGGTGCTCGACCACACTATTCGAATATTTCCTTGATCACATATAATTAATCGTATTAACATATTTTAACTCGTATTACAGTTAAACTGAAGCACTCTTACCTCAGAACAAACTTTCATACTTATGTAGTTTCAATACAGTTGTGAACTTTCCCTATGATCGTAGCACATTAATTACGAACCGTTGGCGGCAGCGAAGCCGAATAGGACGCTATATGAAGTTTTAAACGTGTAGATTTACGATCAACCCTTTCATTAAACAGGTATTAAGGAGACAGATAAGTCTACACATTACACATTTGCTCATATAACTTTGAGGACTTTGCATGAAATCATAATACGCACAATTGTAATCGTTCTACCAAATCTAATATGTATGCAAATATTGCGGGCTCATTCAATTCCACTTAAATTGTAGCAGAAATTACGTTTATTTTAAAACAAGTATTTCGCACTGTGCTCACGATGAACATTTAAAATTACCATTTAAACAAATATAATTTATCTCATAAAACATTTAACCTCTTAAGCATCAGTTACGTCGGTTTATAATCGTTTATGCGAACCCAATTTTCGCGTACAACGACGTTTATAAGTTAATAATATTTATCCATCTAATGAAAATTGTCTTAGTAAAACGTTAATTTAGTCGGGTATACTTTAGATAGCGCTTGTTTTGTTCTACACTTACAAAGAGCAATCGATTTTAAAGCTCGCTGGATTGAAAATTATATGAGAGCCTTAGAGTTGGGTGCGGGTGTGGTCGTGGGCTGCCAATGCGCTTGTCTTTCGGTTCAGTGGGCTTTCTTTAAATTGGCGACGGCTCCGCTGGCCGCACCGCTTATTGCATCTCCCGCCCGCAGCGTCACGACGTCCACGATATTGCCTCCATTCAACCTTTAAGCAAATAGAATTTCACAGTCCGTAAATAAGACCTCCTTAGGTAAATCTCGTATATACTCCTGGCACATGCGACAAAAGACAGAAATTCAATTTTCATAGAACGTCGACGTTGTTTTGTTATTATCGGGCCGTTTTGTTCCTTTTCGGGGAAATACGTGCGTGATGAAAACTAATCTTTCAAGGCATGTCAGGAGACATCGTATCAGGGCTGTATTTTATTCATGCTCAGTACAATAAGGTCGATCGGTAATGGTAATAGAATATCATATAGTTTTTATTTTGACGAGTGTACACCAAGAAAGTTGCGTGACGTTATTTGAAAGGTTCCATAATGTAAGTTCTAAAATCATGTAACCTTTTAAATAACAATGAGGTCATCCAATATAGTTCATCTATTATATGATATTTAACTGTTTTACCTAATATCAATGAAATTTATTTAAAATATTTTTTCCTGCTTTCATTTATATCTATGACTAGTAATTTTAATTAAAAATTAAACAATATTTCAAATAGAAGTTTAAACCAATTAGAATCTCAAATTTAATTGAGAGGGATTTTTTTTTCGTAATTCCATCCACAACAATATCCAACAGTAATAAAAAAATACAATTAACAAGTACTTGAGAATAAGAATGGATCAATAGGTAGTTTCAACGAGATATAAATTTATATTCCTCGAGATATGTTAGAAACGTTATATTTAATAGGTGTTGAATGTTCGGATCTGCAATACCATTGTGACCGACCTAAGCCTATTGTAGCATCAAGAATTCTGAGTACGAACTGCTCCACGGTTTATTGTAATTTACAAACCTGGCGTCGGATATGCTATCGTATAATTATAACTTTTTTTATTTCTTTATTTAAATTTATAAGAAAAAAAATTAATGGTGATCTTTATACATCTTATAAGATATAAAAAATATTAAATAAATAATAAAATGTACTACTTATTTGTAGAGATCTTCATAAATTTTATTAATTTTACTGAAGAACACTAAAATTATAGTTGTAAGTGGATAAGGAGTAATATCTTAAGTTGAAAGACAACTAGAGAAAGCATTCAGAATTCAGTTTCTCATTGTCCAGTTCCTTAAGTTTACTTAGTTTCTCAAGGTACTCATTGTTTTAAAGATTCTAATATTAAATAGGGAAAGTTTATAGTAAATATTGGAATTTCATTATAATAAACTTTCTAAATGATAATAATTGTTTTCGATACATATTTACAAATTACGTGTTATTTTAGTTCTGTATTAGTTATACTTGACATTAATAAATATTTTAGACAGACCAAATAAAGAAAAATTATTATATTTCCCGACTAATTTTTATAAAATTTGTTCAATACAGGCTACGGTTTCTAACGTTTTATTATAATATGTATAGGTAATATAATGTTGGAGCGGAAGCTTTCGAATTGATAGTCATGAGAAGTTACATTTATATTCTACGTTTGTAATAAATATGTATCTAAAACTTAATTTGATTTTTCCTTTATATGGACCACATACAATTTTAATAACGAAATTTTATTAGAATAACTTAAGCTCCATAGAAATTCACTACTTGTTATGAAACAAAGCTTATTATAAACGAAAATATAATACAACTAACGTAATGAATCATTGATTTTCTAATTTATACCCAAATTCTGTTCTCTATAGACATCGTAGAGGCTATTACAAATGCATTGAGTAGTCTGGGCGAGTGACAGGGAGGGGGAGAACGGCAGGCAAGTCGGTTATAGCGTCATATCAATCACTATTGCCGCGAAGCAACTCGATCCCTTGGCACTTGGCCTAGATTCGAAATTACACAAATTTACGTAGTGGGCCTAACCGGCGTTAGGCGAGCTCGGGGATTAGGCGTTCGGGCGCAGCTTACATCGGATAGCCAACCTCAATACCACGCTTAAACGATTCGATCCAAACATTCTATTTTTTCCATCCCATTTACGACTCCCTATTGAATGCTTGTCAACGGTACAATATAAGACCGTTAATAGGCAAGTTAATAAGTAGAAAACTTCGAATTAACTCCTCTTAAATATGGCAGCCGTCAAAGCTTGTGTCTACTTTAGTGAAAGTTACTGCTAAGTAGGATTTGTTTTGGTCTAACATTCCATCAGAAGGATTATTTGAATATGACATTGACTTGTCCTAAGAGAATAATCGGTACTTTTAAGTTGTTAAGAAAATTAACTGACACTTTTTTGGGTTATAATACAAAAATATACACTAGTTATAATTTTTATTTTCTTAAATTTACAATATTTCATACTTTAAGTACTTTGAATTTAAAAAATATTCAAGTAGTTTTAAATCAAACGGAAGACCCATCAGATTGATTTCAATACAATGTGAGACAGGAGAAAATAAAATCGTATAAATAGCGTAATCTAAAAATTTTGCAAGCGTTCAAATGATACAAAAACGAAATATTGGATTTCATTCCCTAAATTGAATGAACAACTTTTAAGTCGGACATTAAACGTATTTAATAACAATTATATAATGAGTAATAGAGATACAATTTCAAGTGTTCAAAGCTTTTTTATATTAAATATGCGTAAAACCCTTTCATTTATAACTCTCTGCTCGGTCCTTGATACAGACTCGCCCCTAATTCCGACTTAATTAGTGTCACGCAAGTTCTGTAATCCTAGGCTCGAGGATACGCCGTTCTTAAAATGAAGATTAGTTGCAATATCTTGAACTATGCTTTCTCTTTAAGTTGTTTCTGGTACCATACTAATTTAACAGAAGATAAGATAATATCAATGATAAAAACAATTTCATTATATTAAATATATTTATAAAATTTATTCCATATTCTGAAACTACATAGTTCCCGTAAAGAAACCTTACTTGAGTAGAATTTTAAAGAATTCGTGATAAACATGGTAAAACTCTGTCTCACAAATAAAGCTTCCGTTTTGGTCAAATACTTAAAATATGCTGGCAAGCGATTGCTTGCATGCTGAGTAGTCGTATCTAAAAGACACTGTGGACTTCATTTTGCCTACGGTGGATTACATGAAACTTAAACATGCCACCTTAATCTGTGACAAACCGTACGAACCGAAACATTAGTTTGCCGGCTTTTAGGCTTAATGCTGTGTTGAATAAATACCAAAAAGCTTTTGGGAACAAGTCAACCTTACAAAGCTAAACATATATCCACGGTGAAAGCTTTAATCCCTTCCAAGAATACAAAAAGCCAAAAAAAAATAATTACGAAATTCAGAAGTTTCTTCTTCAAACCGTTCGTGGCTAATCTCATTAAGATTTTGATCATATTTTAGCGTCGTACGTCAAAAAATTATTTTCAGACTATCTATCCTTCGACATTTCTGTCAACAAATTAGTTGCGCTACGGTTTTCTCCGTGTCAGTTTACGAGCGATTTTATTTTTAACGAGACATCAAACATTATCGAGGGCCCCAACACGAGACGCTCAAGCGCCTGTTTACAAATAAGAAACGTCGAGGAGACGAGTGCGTAATAAATTTTATAACACGGAATCGATTTGGATTCGTACGTAATAATAATATATTGGTTCGAATATTGGAATGTTTCGGTGCGCTCGGCCCGCATCTCAAAATAGACCCTCATCAAAGACGAGCAGTTTTGCAGCTGTAAATCCATTTCAGTGTTGCTTGTCCGCATTATAAATTGGAGCGTACTCTGTACATGTACAAGTTTGTTCGGTCGGTATTTATAAAGAGCGTCGCGCGTCTCGTCCTGTGACCCCGCGTTCTATAACATACACATTCGTTTGTGTTTTCTATTAACGTGTCCGAGATGGTATTAGCCGGACTAGATGGACGTTGTAATTTGATTGTATACATTTGCCAAATTACGGACTAAGTGATAGAATATACGAACAAAATGTTATTTTACTGTCATGTAGTGCAATTTACTTCAAATGTTACTATGCTTTTTGACCTACGTAATTTGAAAATTTGTTTAACTTTTACATATTTTTTTAATGTTTCTTTAATATTTTTCTACCTAACATTTAAGGCCGCATAATAAGTTTACAAAAAAGACGATTATTCACATTAAAGAGAAATCCCATGAGGATGATGGTTTCCCAGGCCCTTAAAAACAGTAGCTATTAAAATTTCCATTTTTCGTATAAAGGAATATAAAACAATGTCATTCTATACTGCTATGAACTTATGTATGATAATTCACGTCAAACTTCATTTGAGGAATGCTAAGCACTAGACACCGCGCTGCATAGATTTGCATTTTACGGTTTTGATACGTGAGCGAATATTCAGTACGGTGTCAGGGTAGGTATCTTTTCAATTCGACGCGGCGGGCGATGAGTGGCCTGTTGAGGACGCTCCACTGGCGGCGCGTGCTTGAGTGCCCGACCCGATGCGCCTGCGCACTACCGCCTCCCATTTCCACCCCACGCTCTCGTCAGAAGGTTATTACAATTAACTTCAACCCGACTTAAGCCTCAATTTGGCACTAGTTGCTGATTTACTGAATTTAAAATTGGGTTCTTATATAAAAACAGAGTTTTTTAAGTTTAATTTAATCATTTACATCTCTAAAGTGGTTACAATTGCAATACTTCAGAATTTAAACACGTCTACTGAAAATGACAATTTAATAATCATTTCCATAAAACAGAAGAACAGATAAAAATATTACAAGTTCGTTTCATTTAATAGTTTTATTTATGATGAATTTTTAATTTGTGCACCGTCAAACGGTCGATGTATACGTACTTGCGTAGTCTCAAGCACAACGCTTAACAATTTTTACGTCCCACACATAAAACTTGTCTGCCACACTATCCGTTTAATAATTTAATCAATTTGAACAAGCTGCGATTTAAAATTTCAATTTTATGGCGTGGAATCTAATATTGTGGAGTTACTAGTAGACTTTTAATTTTCTCGTCGTGATTGCGGAATATGTAAATTCCTATACTGTATAAAGATTTGTTTATCTTTTATATTGTTTGAACTTGTAAAGCGAAAAATATTTCAAAAGCAGTTTTTTTTATGTGACTATACTAAATACAACAATAAAATAACGTATCGGCTGCCTTTTTGGGCATTATGTTTCATAAAATATTATTTGTAAAAAAAAAACAATAACTTTAATAATTGAAACCAAACTTAAAATTTTTGTGATTGATATGATATTTATTTTACAAATATCGGATTTCAATAGTTTTAGTAATTCCAGACAAATTTGTTTAGATCAGTTTGAAGGATAAATTATGCGTCAAACACAAGGAAGGGTGTGGGTAAACTTACCAAGGAGGAAAAGACAAAGCATTCAGATCATTCAATCCTGTCGCAAATATATCGATATTCTGACTTGAACTAGTTGATTAATGTTATGGACTACTTCGTTTATGACTTCGTAAAATAATGTTAAGAAGGTTTAAGGTAAAAATAAAATTAATTAATAAAATGAATTTGTCACAAACAGATTTTACGCGTTATTTTATATTTATTCTTGTTCTTTTCAAAATTAAAAATAGAATTTGCTATAAAATTTTTGTACAATAATGTTCATTATTAAATTTCAGCGATTACGAACTGGTAATATTGAAATAAAAAGTTCTATTTCATTCAGTAACGTCGTGTAGAAGGACGTTTAAAATTTATCAACTTGGCTTTTCTTGGCGTGCTAAATGTTAAAAGTTTCCCATAAAAATTGTTTTATATCATTCAGATTACCATTTAAAAATAATAAAAAAAGAAAACCTTTTAATTATTATAAACATATACGGCGATTTCACAAGCATCTGGTTCCTATAATTTTTTCCCTCATGAATTATTAAACATTCTCCTAATATCATTTCATGGTGTCACTTTCTACGTGTCTAATTTACAATTCTATTTATCACTCATTTCAGTAAAATATATAATTAACTAATTCCAAACTCGTGTGTAAGAGAAACATCGCATCACAAATGGTACCTTTTGTATAATTAAACTGCGGGCAAACCCAGTTTAAGTTTAATCCTATAGCCTCTTGACACCACACTCCCACACGGAGGGGAAAATATTTTGTTGCTCAACACTATTGACGTAGTTGAAAATGCTCAAGTCGCGCTACAAGTGTCGTACAAAATAATACTGTAATTAATAAAAGTAAATAAATACTTATTATATAAATAAATATAGATAAACATAAAAAAGGAAAAATATTTTTACATTTCTTTGGTTGCAAAAGATTCTGATAAAATATATCTCATGATAACGATTAATATTTTACTTACTTCAACCCAACAATTAGATGTATATTCGTATAAGTCACGAAAAAGTCAAAGTGAAATATGTCGGTAGAAACGTATCCGATTGTCCAACCTCTTAAAGCAAAAATAAATGCTCTTAGCAACTTTGAGGTGGCTTACAACATTTTGGCCCTAATTACGCATTCTCGACATTTGCTTAATGTATGAAAATTTTAAAGAACGAACCATGTTGATGGTGCTTCAAACAAAATAATTGCTACGGTCGCGTGATCCCGGATTTGGACTCAGCATTCATTAACTTTTTATTTCACCCTCCCTTTAGGTTATAATTTGACGTGAAATATAAAATCGGTTGGTGATAAGTTGGAATAAATAAAATGAAAAGTTTCTAATACATAGCAACATAATGTAAATCCCTATAACGAACCGAATACAATAGGAACTTTTGGCGGGAGTCATTACAATCGTATTGAATGAAATACTTTTCCTGCCTTTAATCTTTTACATGATGTAAGAAAATTTCAGCGTCTCACGATATATTTAAGACAAAGACGCCATAGTCAATCTTTACAATAGCACTGGCTTGATACCGGCATAGTTTTTTGCATTAAGCAAGAAGGGGAACACGACAAGGCATCTCGCTTTCAACCACTCGCAGGGCGATGCTGAATAAAAGAAATAAGTAACTATACACATCTCACTATAGAAATGAAACCCTTGTGTATATGGAGTCACTCCGATGTGTTTCGAATGGCTTTCGATGACAAGTACGCGGAGCTATTTCTCTTTTTAGATGGCTAAAATGGGCCTATTGTTTCACGAGCTCTCTGGCTTGTGCATTTCTACAGCAATACCTTTGTCTTTATGAGTTATTTAATTCTTTTATATTCTATAAATATATATAATCTAGAACTTGAAAGTTTGTAATTTTTTTATTACACACTGTTTTATATTTTTTTTCAATACCTATAACCAAATTTCTCAATATAATATACAAATCACGATTTTTTAAAATTTAAGGCGGCCTTATCAACTCATCGATAAGATTTTATTTATTCAGATCACGATGTAATACAGCGAAGTTTGTTCATTTACATGCATTTACTTTTTTCTTTCCTATTTACTTATTTGTGCTTCCTTTATCGGATACTGTGAAGCGTAAACGCACGGCATGCATAATTTTGTTTATTTACTCTCTTGCTGTAAAACAAACGTAATCTTAATTTAACATCTCCCATAAATAGGTACATCTCCATTATAAATACTTGTCATGCTATCTGAAAATATAGCACAATGATTAGTTTGTTGCATGCATTGTCATACTTACACACGCTCTTAATGTAACAGCACAGAGTTGCAACGACAGTTAACATCACAGAAAGATAGATTGGTACCTTGCAAGTGTTGGTAGAACGGAGAACCAATAATGTTTCGTTAATGTCTGTCATTTAGTACGTATGCGGTTTGTCTTGTGTCACTTGAATTACAGCACAGAGGACTAGGTACCTACTTATTTCACGTCGCGAACCGAGTATCCAACTGAACTACCGAGACTGGCAACTTAAGCCGCCGAATCACCATTTGCTATCCAAGCGGTCTATGTATTGTTACAAATGGCATATATCTCTTGGCAGACCGTGCGGTATCTAATGAGCTGTGAAGTAGATAACGTGTGAGACACGGGAAGACGGAATCGCTCCCCTATCTATCCTATCTTTGTCGAATGTCGCTATACTGAATTAAATATAGTCACTAAACGCATAGCATATCAAAAGTGCCATGACTAGTTTCGTGACCATTTATAAAATAAAAATATTGTTATAAAAATAAAAATAAATTGATCTTCAATTCTATTGGCTAATTCCATCCTTCAAATGTCGTATTAGTTTGTTTCTCTAAGTTAACTTTGTATCAAGGAATTTTCGTTTAATATAATTTTAACCGGATTTCCTGAGCCGTAATAATTTCTTCAAGCATCCAAAAGTACGCTTTGAGTGGGTTCAGAGCAGTGAAAATATGTGCTGTGAAGTAATTGCGTAATTGCTGACGAATACGTTTCCTTTTATAACATGTATTTCGTCAGTTAAATAAAATGGAAGGATAAATAAAATAACAATATAACTGATGACAAATAAAAGTCATTTTAAGGGAAAAGTGAATATAAAATTGCATGCGGGTGAAAATGTAAAAACGCTGCCAGTGCACATGCACTGTCAGTGGCATGTTATGAATTGAGTTACAGCAAGTTGCGAGCACGCCAGCAAAAGGACAGCCAGACACTGTGTTCCGTAATTGATGTGTGTAGCTTTTCATCTGCGTTCGGTGTTTGCCGTCGCTCGTGGTCAAGTTAGACTAAATTAAATTGTTGTATTTTTCACAACAAAGTGACTGCTACCAACCGCGTACAGTTAACGAGGGGGCGGTAATGTCATTTGTTCGAACCGGACTCCATGTTTACACGACACATTGGAAAATTTTATTTTGCAATGACTATATTGTTACACTTTATTTATACTTACACTAAAAAGGGAGTACTTTAAAATTGCAAATGCATCAATAAAGTAGAAATGGAAATATGTAGATAGTTATGGACATAGGATAACTGACATCTTACGTGCCTGTGTAGAAATTAAATGCAACGCTAATACATTTTAATATTTTGGCCAATTATCTGAATTGTCCCACTGTGACAATAAAATCTAGTCAATCAGATAGCCGATTCCAATTTAGAGAGAGGGAAAAATTGGATATGCGGCGAATAATAATTTTCCCCGTAGAGTGGGATTGCGCTGTCCACATTTAAGGTAATTGCCAACAGTTTCGGCTGACGTGGCCAACGGCAAACCTGACACTCGCTCCCAGGAGGCCACCCTTTACAATCCCATTAATGAATGCCTCTTATTCAATTTTTATTTACTATAATATTTTCTCAGTAATATCAATGAAGCCGATTTTTTATTTCCCTTAAGGTTATTTTAAATAACCTCGTAAAATAAGAATCTGAAATTTTGATGGTGACTGTAGTTTCTCTTTTTCATGTTAAAATGTCTTCAAAATTGAAGGAAGACATTGCTTTGATATAATATATGTATGCATACCGTCGAATAATTAAACGAACGGAAAACACCTTGACTTAGAGAGCCAACGTGACTGGGGAGGTTGGATGAATGTTGTCGTACTCAAGATTTGCAGGGAAAAGACGTGCTTGTGGGGAGAGATCTGCCACTTGGACACGTACAGCGAAGAACATATATTATCATACCATTCAAGACTCTAATATTATTCACAGAGGTGTTATTTGAGAATACAGTTAACATCAAGTATTTCTTACCACATATCGTCATTAAGCAAATGACTGAATGAATTTTCATAAAATATTTTAATTTCCATTTAAGAAATGCCTTATGTGCATAATAGTTTACATATATTTTTTATGATAAAAAAAATCTATAGTTATTCGTTAAATTTATTTTAAAATTAAAATATTTTTTATTCAATTAACTTCAACTACCGGACTTCGTAGCTCCATATCTTTTTTACTCTTATCGGACTTTTCATTTGTTAATATACTGTCTAAATATTTATCGAAAGACGAAATCTTGCTAATAATTTTTCTTTAAGTATCTAAAACTATTTCAATAATCAAATATTAAACAAATAAACCACAATTCGTCACTTTTCATAAAAGATTTCGTTATTTCTCAATTAAAAAAGTACTTTTTAACGTTATTGAATTTAATATTTATAAGCCTATTACAAAAACTTTAATTAAATATTCTGTTACAGATGGTGACCAGGACAAAGAAAATCTTCGTAGGAGGGCTATCAGCACCCACAACGCTGGAAGATGTAAAAAATTATTTCGAACAATTCGGACCGGTAAGTTTTTAACTTTCTTAACTCGCAGCATAAACTCGCTGTCAAACTTCGTATTTTTCATAGTCTCATTATCGCTGCTATTATCTTAATGAACCTATCGTTATTAAAGTTTATGCAAAAATTTTCTGTAAATTTCATCGATGTTAAAAATAATATTTATCAATTATATAGTTAACATTAACTTCAAATATAAAACACTTTCAACATCTCTTCCTATAATTGCATCTATACTACTGTACAATAGCGCACATTTTCCAATTATGAGATCCATTCTTCAATATTGTGTCTTTTGAATCGATATTGAATAAGAATCATTTTATCGTCTATTTTCTGATCCACACAAAGTTACCTTCAAAAAGCGTCTTTATTAGCATGTTTTAAAGTATCTATTCAAATACTTAAGTGTCTACGGCTGGAGGATTGCGATAACTCAAGTCTTTGTCTGGCAGCCACGACTTGGAGTAGGTGTCTATCTACAAAAGTTTTGCTGTAATTAGCTCCGTATCTAGCTTGGATGCGAACTAAGGAACTTTCCAAAATCCAAAACGGGCTACAGGCGGAATCATTGTGACTCAAAGTAATCGTCCCAAGCCAGCCGGCCGCGACGATCAAAACCTTCATTACCTATTATGAGAGTTTAGAATAAAGCCAACGAGTTTTTCGGAGTGAATGTGATTGATGCCGGGCGAAGGAAATATCCCGGGAGAGATAAAAGGAATTTAATGAAGAGTCTTTAAGAATAATGATTAAGGGAATGGTTATTCCTTTTGGTCGGCCTAACGATGTAGTCTTTGAAGTACTTTTTATCCCTATGAAACACTGTACAGCCACAATTATTCCAATTAAAAAAGGAAACAACGAGGGCAAATAATGATAATGAAATTAAAAAAAAGATAAAAGTAGTTTATGATATTTACAAAATAAATATAAATATATCTTGGCTAGGAACAAAAAGTTTAAAAAAGTTCATAATTTTTTTTTTCTGTTAATTGGTAGTAAAATTTAAATGCGTAATTCTAAATATAGAGACCCTTAAAACCAAATACTATTTCGATTATATATGCAGTTGTCTAGCTAAGTTTCAATATATTCTATAAAATTTAAGAGATACCCTCGAATCATCATTTCGTAAGGGTGTCACATTTTGAGCAAGTTTAATTAACAATCTAGTTGCTTTTGTAGGAACCTTCATTAGTGTATTTGTGGATAAACGTTGTGAAAACCCAAGCTATTGCGTTGCGTCCGTGTGCGTAGATGTACGATATCATTCTTCGCAAATCTACAGCAGACAAGGACGAGTCACGTGCGTACACATTCGTAGTCGACTTGTGTGACTGGCGTACACTCGAAGCCGGTATCGAAGTGTGCGTGACTTCGATGTCTCGATGCCGTCCTGTTCCTTACGTGCGAGCTTTTCAAATGAAAACTGTCTTGGAATATCAAATGAGCCACTTAAATACTGAACACAATGAATACGCCCACCTGAAGCAAAGGCCACCGGGACGCGTGCACGCAACGCCGTCGTAAATGAGAGCCCGACGGGTTGGGGCCGAAGGGTGGGTAAGGTTCAACCCCGGTAACGATTTCCTTCAGATAATGGAGAATTTTCTGATGAAAGCTGTTCAACGGTGCCCTTTCAAGGATTTAGGAAACGTCGGATTTATGGCCCGAACGGTCGGTGCAAATTTTGTTCGTCACGATACAACGGTCCCTGTCGCATGAATAAATCTATACGTGCCTCTCCATAAGCATTCCCCCGCACAATTCATTTTATTTGCGAACATTTAAGTACTATTGTACCAAAGCTAGCTGACTGTCAGATAACGAGTTAAATATTAAATCTTGTATACTTATATATTCAAAGTTTTTATGTACATAATCTTTTAAATTTAATATATAATAATTAAAGTTAGATAGAAAACGAATCCGCCCTGGCAATATCTTACAGAGATAATAATAATATACAATTTGAAATAACTTCACTTTATTTCAAATAATAAGAAAGACTACGTTGGGATTTTATTCAATAACATTCTCAATTTTGTAACAAAGGTTGGGTACTGTATAAGAGATGACATCGCACAAAATATTAATATGTAAATCACAGTGAGATTCCCTTGAAAGTCGAATGTCGGCAGCCGGCATCGAAATGCCGACTTAAAAATTAATTAGCCGAACGACCGGTGTAATCTCTGAAGACTACACCGATTAGGGGATTGTTTTCCAAACTTGATTTTATGTCGTAAAGAGACAAAATTTTGGACCACTCTAATGATATCACTGTCTAACTATGAAGCCCAGACTATATGTACATATTTAAATTTCCTCTATATACCTCTAGTTTTGATTAGTATATTTCTTATAATTGTTCTTACATAAATTAATTTTGAAAATAAAAAAGAAACTATAATAAAAAATTATGTCTGTTCAAAGTTTTTAGTATTTCTCAAATCATTTCACTGTGTGGTATATTAATTATTAACTAGATACTTGCTACAAGTTCCGCTTGCCTATTAATTATGACCTCCCAAGCAGAAAATATGTCTATTTTAAGTTATTACTTTTTCGTTTTTATATCCTACACTAAAGAAACAGTTCACAAAAAACACACTCTGATTTATAGGTAAAAAATAAAAAATAATAATACACATCCAACTAACATATTGTACTTCATTATTTATGATCTATGCGGAGTTATGATTTTTATTTGCCAATAAATCAGAAATTGAACGTAATAATTTGAAGTAAACATAGTCTTAAATTACAATCCATGGCAATAGACAGTGGCGTGCACACCATAGATGTAAATAAGTACTGCATACCCTACGGATATAACAACTAAACCGATATTGTTTAATTACATACTTTTAACCATACATTACGAAATACAATTAATGTTTAGTCATTTAATATGACATTTGATTCACTATTTGCTAATAAGTGCCATCTAGCAATGTAAATACAAAACATTTTCGATTTGCCGCTGCCAACTACTAGCGCCGCTATGCAGCCAGAGCGGCGGTATGCACAACCACTCTCTGTTTATTTTTCATACAAAAATTCTCAAGGACGATCTACAAATCTCGTGTATGTATGCAGAAAATGTTTGTATATGTGAGTCTAAAACTAACACATGCATAGTGTTCAAGAAGTTCATAGAAAGTCCGTTAATTGTCAAAGTTCAAACGAAACGGGGCTCTCTAATTGGTCAATAAACTGTTAATTAATTTTTTCGCCATTTTATTATTATTGAATATTGTCAGTTGTCATTCTAAGCGCAAGTGAATAAGTTTTAATAAGTAAACAGTGGATTAATTTATTAACGAATTATGGAAAATTATAGCTATGAGATAGTACTTGTGATGTGTTTTTATCGTAACCAAATACGAGTAGATACGTTCAAATTGACGTTTGATAATAAAATTAAAATAAGTGTAAAGAGAAGGTGTGTGTTGAGTTGAGTTTGAACTAAAAGAAAGATAATGTTATTGGTTTTATTAAAAAGTATTATGATTTTTAATTAGTTAGCAGGTTGTGTACACATAAATAAGTTATTTTGTTTGCCTTGTTTGTTCTTTTCAAATGATAATAAGAAGAATGTTTGAATCTCCACTGGATATTCTGGATATTTAAATAAATTTTATAAAGCTGTGATGAACAGATCGTAATGGTTTTAAAGTACTTTCGTGGCTCAAGGATAGTTGAGAGATTCATAAAGTATATAGATGATAGTTCTGATTGGACTGCTGTCACATTATGCACGAAAATTAGCAGTGTTTAAATGAAACTAATATTTTCTGATTACTTCGCGTATTTTATTATGTTTAAAAACTACAGACTCCCGACGTTTTGATTACTTTGCAGCAGCCGTGATCACGGTAGACATCGCGTCTGACGGATAAAATAAATAAATTATGCGTAGTAATTCGAAAATATTAGTTTTATTTGAATGAACACTTGTGAAAGATCTCATTATTAACAACTTTTTAGAAAGGAAATTTTGAAAATTGGAAATTTTTTCATACATATTCTGCTTACCCTACTCCAAAACTCTGTGCACGCCACTGGCAATAGATAATGTTAAAGTTTCCCAACCAATATAAAGTTAGCCGGCATTCGCTGAACACCATACGCACAAGAGGGTGTCTTTGAGCAAGTTCTGTTCATGCTTGATTCGCTATTGTTTTAGGCATCTAACGAACCAAAACTCTGACCGTTGTGATTCCCGTCGATATCTAACACGCAAGTCATACGCCTCAATCTGAAACTTGCTCGATTACTTGTAATCCTTTGATTTGCTTACTTTCAACAGTATTATGTTCTATATTGCATAAATTAAAGAAATAGCTCTTCTTATCGTATAGACATATAATATAAAAATCTTCGTAACGGTTATAATTATAAGATGAATTGTTTTTGTAAACATATCATTACTCTACAGTCCGTAAATCCCAGCCGTTAATGTCTATCAAATAGCTCAAACAACCTACTAGTTTGCATCGCTAAACATCGTTTACTGTCAGCAGCACTCGAACTGTAACTGAAACGGGTCCGGAATTCGGCTCAACTATAGGTACGATATCATCGGAGGCCGTATATCAATCAGTTGTTACAACGATTCACGATTGTCGTTTATCTTCGGGGTCGCTCGGATCTGTCTGTCCAGATCCCTGCATTGTTCCGACATTAGCTAGTACTGCTGAAACGGTGAATGTCTGAAATGCCATTGGAGTGGCGTTCCCGTTGCACGGTGCATCGGGCGCCCGATAGCGTTCCCAATTTCCTGACATAAATTGCTCTAATTTGGTTATGCACTGACGGCTGATCGAAGGTTGCTAAAGCGCCAGCCGCCAACGACATTCGACTGCGGTTCGTAATTTTTGTGGCATTCTGTAATTTGACGTTTCAATTCGGTGTTACAATTTTTAAAAAACATATACTTTTTAATCTTTTATGTAATTGGAGTGATTTTTAATATAGAATATAATTAATATGTTTCATCTAACACTGATAGTGAAGTTAATAAAAAATATATACTTGAAATTGGTTTTTATAATTCCAAAACATTCTTAAGAATAATAACATCAAATAAATATAAGAGCTAAAAAATATTTAGATACTCAAATAATAAAATTTCTGTAAGTCGTATTTTTCCAATTAAATAAATTTTTTGTTTCCTCTTGAATGGTAGGAGCAGAACTAAAGTACCAATATATTAAGCTAATGGCTAACTAATTACGTCCTCGAAGCGTTTTACAGAACCACACAAGTAGTACTCAAGAAGCAGTGCTTTAACGTTTCATTTGTAAAATTGTATTTATATTACCAAGATTTTCTTTTCAACTTTTATAACATAAGTTTTGTTTAAATTCTATATTTAGGTCCGTTTTGCGATAATTCTTATATTATTTGTCTTACATTTCTAAATATTATATCCTGTGTTTAAAAAATTTTTACTCTGATTTATAACTTATCACTATATACTAAAGGTCTATTTTTGAGTAAGATAAAAAATTATAACAAAATTTTGGACTGAACAGACAAATCAGTTTTGGATGTAGGTGATTCTCCTGATGAACGATTGTTTTCTATTGTAAAGCTCGTAATTGTTAATATCCAGGATTGAAATGATAAAAATATGTTAATATATTAGTTGAATGATAAATTCGTACATGAATATTTAATAATTGATGTATCAAACTCTTTTATTTCTGGTCATCTTATGTACATATTGAGGAATCAACTCTATACTTTAAATAAGTCAATTTTACTATATAAAATCATAAATTTAACTTAATTATTCGAGTTAAAAGAAAATAATTTAGCAAGAGTAAAGCCAAATGATATAATATAAACATGAGTAACCTCAGTTAATCCTATTACAATAAAATTGATGAGACGATTTAATCCGATCATTTTAAAACAGTACCAAAACGAATTTCACCGTACAGTGACAATAGTGGTACCGAAAAACAAACTTTTATTTTCCACTTTAATTAAATCAACCATAATAAACATATATTCAGCAACATTTGTTTTTGTATAACAGAGGTCCAGTTTTTGTCAGAAGATATGAATGAAAGAATTAATTTAATTATATCTCGAAGCACTCATGTGTGAATACCTACTTATTACAAGTATAAACTTAATAATCCCCTAAAAGCTGATTTAGCGCCGTCTAATTATTTTCCTTCTTTTTCTTGCTGTTAATTAAAATATTTAAATCTTCCAATCCTCCGGCTTACATAACTTTTATTTCTGCTAACTTTCCCTGTTTAAAAAACGACTTTGCATGTGGTCTGTGCTGTTAAAATATTCTTAAATTTTGATTGCCTCGTAGAATTTTTCGGCAGTTTTTTTTTTATGAATTATCTTTGTTCGAATTGAAAAGACAATTAAGTATGCTAATTCATACACTGTGACGGCTTCATGAAAAACCGCTAAGAAAGATTATCTTTCCGATATCTGCAGAAGTGAGGGAGTATAGGGAGGGCTTAGTGGAGGATGACATCTCATAAACCGAGACA